ATTTGCAGAGTGCAGGGGTGAGGACTGCCACAACCACCCATTCCTCAGAGCTGATGTGCCAGGCCATGGCAAAGGCAGGATGCTCTGCAGGGAGATCAAAGAGGAGAGCTGAAACGAAAATATGACTAGCAGCAGTGGGGGAAAATTCTTGAATTCCAGTATGAAGTTTCCTCCTTTCTTTCAAATTGGTGCACCATTTAGGACATGCATAAGCCACATGTTAAAGGTGTTAGAGGGATGAATGTGGAGCACATGTGTCTGCCTGAGCCTTTACCTCAGGGGTGGACTGACTGGAGGGAAGGATAAGCACCCTGAGAGCTCCTGACCACAAGACATCAGATGCTTTGCTTAGGTTTCTCTAGTGGACAGTCCATACACAGGAGTTGGGATTATTTTCTTCTATTGATTCAACTCCTAGGGCTAAATACCACCTTCCATAACAAATGACCCAGTGACCGTTAACAGCTGGAGGCAAAACTTGAAGCTTACCAATATCTTTTGCAAAAGATAAGCAGGCTCTGTTACCAATTTATGGGGAAAGTGAATAAAGAAATCCCTGAATGATTGTTCTGCTGACCTCAATATATCTTCTGGGAAGAACTTCCTAAAGCCGAAGAACTAAGGCTGCAGAAGAGAAGATGTTAACCAGGCCTGGTGATTTAGTTCTCTTTAAGGAGACAATATTGCTGGTTAATTTTTTTAGGTTTTTTTTTTTCCTCTATAGTAGACTCAATCAATATTACATTTTCAATTCAGGATAAAAGAAATTCACACAGCAGAAAAAAAGAAATAATGCTGGTGATGCCTTACTATTCCCATGTCATAACAAAAGGAGTATTACTGTACTGGAAGAGCTGTTCTGTGTTCCAGCCTTGTGCTCACAACGCTAGGGAGAAGTTTTGTAGACAGCTGGGGGTTTGGTACAGCTGTAATGTATTGATTCAAAGAATTTGGGGTACTTGTTGAGAAGACAAAGAAGAAACATTTCCCATCAGGATTAATGAAGAGAGACTGGTTTCATTTGCTACAGCTCATTATAGAAAAATAGCAATGACAAATCATGTATGGCTGTGAGGGGCAGGGTGTTCTTTTCACCTTTTCTTTCTCATTTAACAAAATCAAGTGACACAACGTTGATCAAATGACAGCACTACAAGCCAAGACAAGCAGTGCCTGATAGCTATGGTGCTGTTTGGGTTTCTTTGGGTTTTCCTTTTTGCAGAGGAGGGTGGTCAGCACTGCAAGTGGATGTGCTGCTTTTCATGCTGGAGCACAGTCCAAGTGCTGTGGCACTGCCTCTGCTCCCCAGCCACCAAATCTGGTGCCAGCACCACCCTGTTCTGCCTGGTACTACATCATGAAACATGTCCATAGCCCATTTAAGCTGCCTGCACCTGGGAGGGAAGAAATTTGGCTCATAAACCTAGGCTCCTCCCTAGTCAGGCTGTGAACCATTTTGTAATAGCTTCAGTCTTTGCTTCCCAGGAAAGATTTATAATAAGTCTTTCCTTAGCATTTGGTTTCACTTGCCCTTTTGAGCTAAGGTCAAGATCAGAGAGTAGGTAAACAGGCTTTCCCAACTTGCAGATACCCAGCTGTTCTGTCCTCCAACTCCATCTCTGCAGCTAAATAGCAGTTTATGAAAGCATTTTTTCTTTCTGTGCCATTTTTTAAAGCCATTAAGGAAAATGCATATATTTAAGGTAAAGCCGTGTGACTATTACTCAGTGCCATACATAACATGCAGGCTATACGAACTTGGATTGTGTTGTTTTCTGAATCAAGTGCATTACATCTGGGATGCAGAAGGGCTTTATTCACAATCTCTGGGGAAACAAAAAAATCCCAAGGTTCCTTTAACTTTGAAAGACAGTTCTGTGCTCCAATGGACAATTACTCTCCATGCTAAAAATATTTTTTTTCCTCTGTGGTGGAGAGTTCTGCTAGATGAAACAACCAATAGGCATTGGAAATCTTTCTCCATGTAAATACTAAAGGACATGAGCTGCTCACTTTTTGACCTTTAGTTAGCAAGTTATCTGTACTTAACTTTGTTGGCGTTCTATTGTAAGAAAGTTAGTTTGTCCTAATCTCCAAGAGGTTCTTGTACCTCTTCTCCTGAAACCTTGCCTGCTTTTATTTTGTGGAGGCTTAGCAGATTTGGCAGTGCTATGTGCAGATGGCAATACCCTGTTCCTGCTCTTCAGTGTTGCCCACCTAAGTGAGGGAAATAGCCTGGTCAACTTGTCAGCTGCTGCTCCAGGAACTCATGTTATTGAAATTAAAGGAGTTAACTGTGATCCAAACTCATCAGACAATAGCTGGGAACAAATGGATCTCACTGCTTGACCTTACTGTATTTGAGCCAGGACAAATAAAATAATCCTGGTACCTCTAAATTTCAGGTTATGGAGGATGCATAAGGGACTTTCTGAAAACCCACTTTAAAGCAAAAACAATAGGAAAAATTTTTAAGCTTCTAGAATAGCACAGAAATAGTGAGGTGGACATATCACTATCACCCCTCCCAAGTCCTAAGGAGTGGAACAGGTTGGCGCTGATACCTCTAACCCAGTCCCTGTGACACTGACTCCCAGAACAGTCCTGAAGAAGTTCCTAGATGTAGAGCTGTGTCTGGCTCTCAGATGCTGCCCCTGAGCCTTGCCCTGGGACTGGTACTAAAAGGAAGCCTGAGAGCGGGCACCAAGCTCTGGGTTTTAGGTTGAGCTGGTAGACTTAAAATCTTGAGTCTACTTGACAAGAAAACACAGTGGCCCTTCCTTTGGTGTTTCAAAGTCTCATTGTCAGAGAAGTAATAAATTTGAGGTTGTTTTCTTCTTATAAATTGGACTGTTACTGTGGAAAGGTCTCTTAATTTTCCATTTCTCCGGTGAGATCTATAATGCATCTCCTAGCTGTGACTGACTAGTTAAATATTCTCTCTCTTTTGCCACTTAGTATTCCTGTACAGCTGCTTGTTATTATAAACTATTTGTTCAACTTTGCAGGCAATTATAAGAACAAATAGCTTAGTGATGTATTGACGGTTGTGTGTGTCTTTGACAATGCCCCAACACCTCCTTCCCAAAGACACTGCTCTTCCAGATGAGAAAACAAGGACAGTGTGACTAAATGACATCCATTTGCAGAACTCAAACATTTCCTTACTCACTCAACCCCAGATGTTCTTTTCCCAGGCCTCATATTCAAAACTTCATTAGAAATGTGAGAGAAATGCTTTACTGTGGCTGCTGGCTTGGCTGCTTTTCAGGTTCAGGCAGAATTTCTAATATTCACAGGCCCTTTTTTCTTTTTATTTTTTTAATACTTCTCCAGAAACTTGTATCATCATCTTTAGCTGTGCAGGAAAATATCCACATGAGCGTAATATTTTAGAGCTTCTTTGTACCATGTTAATCTCTGAGACTAAAAAAAAAAATCTCTTGGTCCCAGTTTCATTTTTAATAGGATAGTAAACTAAGAGGATACATAAGGATTATTCTAATCTCACCCTCGAGCTCTCTGCAGCACTACTGCCTATCTGGGACCCATTATTGAACTGCCTTCTCTAGTGCTCTAGAAAAGAGGTACTTATCTTGATTTAACAAGTAATGATAGCAAAAGCCTGAGCTGTCATGCTTTAGACAGAATGGATTAGCTAATTGATTGTGAAGAAAAGAAATACTAGGCTGGAGCTAAACACCCTTTGGGGTGCAGGCCTTTCCTTGTTTTCTTTTTAGTTCCTTGAGAACATGTTTCTACACTGGGGTGGGGGGAAGGCTTGTGTGTGTGTATTCAACACAAACTACTCCTACAAAGCACATGCAAGACACTGCTAATCATGAGTTGTTTCCTCATTTTGCAGCTCTCCTGGAGCAGTCCATTTTGTGTGCTTTGGAAGAGCAAGGGAGCTGGTAAAGGGGCTGGAGCACAAGTCTTACCAGAAGCAGCTGAGGGAACTGGGTTTGTTTAGCCTGGAGAAAAGGAGGCTCAGGGGGTATGTATCACTTGTTACAACTACCTGAAAGGACATTGTAGAAAGTTGGGGGTCAGTCTCTTCTCCCAAGTAACAAGTGTTAGGACAAGAGGACATAGCCCTAAAGGAGCTATGAACCAGGGGACGTTTAGGTTGGATAGGAAAAAAACATTTCACTGAAAAGGTTGTCAAGCATTGGAACAGGCTACCCTGTGAGTGATGGTGTCACCAGTGCTGGAGGTATTTAAAATGTGTAGATGTGGTACTTAGGGACATGGTTTAGTGGTGGAATTGGCAGTGCTGGGTGAATGGTTGGGCTCAGTTGTAAGGTTTCAATTTAAATTATTATTCCATTGTTGTGGCAGAAGATAACCACATAAAGCCTTATATGCCTACATACTCTTCAGACCCTTTGGGTGTGGGGTCTTGGATGGGGACAGCACATGTCCTGGGCAGGACAGGGACTTATTTCTGGTGATACTCATTGTTTGCAAGTGATGGGAGACCAGCCCACCTGGAAGTGAGAATTCTAGCAAGTATGTGTGGAACTGGTCCTTGGGACAGTGTACGTACTCTCCTACCTCTAATCATGGCAGTAAATGCACGTAAGGGCATAACTTTGACCTCAGATATGGCTGTAGCCAATACACAGTCATACTTCCCTCAACCCTTAACCATGGGTGAGGAACTGAGGGAGGGCAGGCAGGATTCAGTTGCACAGCAAGAGAGAGTAAAGCTGAGACTCAAGTGCAGGTTTTGCCTGTCTGTATAGTTCACTGCCTGATATTTCCTTCTCCCTCTCATACTGAAAACAGCTACATTTTTGCTGTCAGACTCTAATGTTGAATATGTCTTTAGACTATTTCCAAAAGGCATAACAGACTCCTCCAAGCAGATAAATTACTGCTGTCAACAGCATAATAATAGTCACACACATGGTTTCTTTCTCCTTTCCTCCCCTCCACTCCCCATGATAAAACTTCTAAAACGTTGTATACTGCACAGAATGTGAACAGACACTGGGTTAGTTAAAAACATACTTCTTTTTATTTGAAAGTTTTCTATCCACAGATAAAAGGCAGTTGAGACATTGCATAGTATACTTTTTTTTTTAGTATGCTTATTATCAAATGTGTCTGAGAAAAGGGATGGTTACTGGCTCTAACTTCCCACAACAAACAGTGAAGTTAATGGAATAATAAATTAAAGTAGTAGTAGTCAACATTATGTTTAAAATAAATGTTAACAGATACAAATATAACATGAATGATAACTGATCCAGTTTCCCTTCTCAGGAGTTCAGTGTCTTCTTAGAGTGGTTACCTAAGTGGAGCTTTATTAAAATGCAGTGATGCTCTGAAGCTTCAAAACACAAAAGCCACACAGGGTTTTTTTAATTGAATGGGAGTGTCTTCAAGAAACCTTGCTAGTGAGAATGAGGGTGCTGTTTCCCTGTCCCTCTGATGGTTGGTTAATATCCCTGTTGCTGAGCCCTTGCTGCTGCAAGGAGGCGGACTTCATGCTCCAGCTGTGGCTGATCCTGGCTCTAAGGCACTTCTAGGGCCTACCAGCTATTTGCAGTGTAGGCACTAATTATTCAAAGGACAAAACTCAACATATTCTGCAGTGTGCGAGAGAGGAGTGTCATGCAATCTTAGTGTACTGGCCATTGTCTCTGGGACTGTCCTCATTGTCCTATATAAATGCTCATTGCTGGATACTCAGTACCTGGGCCCTCTGTGGTATTAACCCACAAGGAACTTCTGTGGGTCTTAAAGAAACAGTTTTAAGAGCTCTATCTTGTCAGTGTGCTCTCTTTCCTGTTACCTGAACTCACGTGGGTTTCCATGAGTGCTTTCTGGCAGGTGGGGTTTCGCATGGAGCTGGTCCTGTGCATGGGCTGAATGTCAGGTTGCTGCAGGCTGCCACCCATGCTTGTTGGGCTGCCTTGAGCTGGAGACAAACACCTTGCTCATCTGTTCAGGGGAGCTTCAGAAAGTGTCAAAGCTACTAGGGGGAGGTAGGTATTAAACAGGGACTTACAGGAAGAAACTTGTCAGAGCAGCAGCAGAGCAGCAAGAGACCTCCATTTGAAACAGGATGGGGAATGCAGTAGCAGAGTCCATGCAACCTTAAGATCCAAGAGTCTTTACAGCAACATGGATGCTGGCCCATATATTACACAACAAGAAGTCAACCAGGTTCTGAATTACAGAGTTGTAATTTGACCCTGAGGATCTGATGACCACAGAAACCACCAGAGTTCTGCTTCCCTGGTTTGACAACTGTATGCTCCTGCAGGCAATTATAATCCTGTTGTATGTCTCAGCTGCCTGGCACTTTTTTCCTCCTTCATTATGTACTTAACATTGAGGTAGAATTTTCAACTAGTATTTAAAAACACAAGAAAAATGAACACAATCTTATTGGGCAAGTAGTCCAGTGACCTCCAGAATTTGCTAAAAACCTTCACAATGTGGCTATAAAATGAGTAATTGAAGTAGCAGAGAAAAGTAATTCTAAATGTGTCAGAAAAACAGTATCAAAAAAAGTACAGCACTGAGTTGCAAGACATTTTCTTCATCTATTGGATTTAAAACAATTCAGTGATTTGGTTTTTTTTTTAATTTTCCCTCTGGAACAAATGACAGAAACAGAATTTTTTTTATGACATCAGAGATATACTGGTATCACAGGAAGAGTACACAATGAATTTTTGAAGGATTAACTGTTTTGAACAATGATCTAAATAGAGATAATTTATAATGGTTGGCTTCAGTTGAGAATTGCTTTTATTTCCTATAAAAATACATGTTTAAGGATGTATATATGGATGTGTCTTGCAAAAAAAATCTACATTCCTTCTGAAGTTTATAAGGAAGATCAAAGTAATAGTAGTAACCTTTACAAGGAGACTTAAATGTCTTGTTGTTCATACAATATTTAAATGTAAGGAACACATATCAACATAGGCTTTTTTTTTTGCTTTACAACCCCTGTTAATACTAAAGCAAGTTTATACTTAAAGCTAGTTAAACTACTGCTATAGGACTGCTGTTAGTTACCTCTACTGTACTCAATACCACAGAGTAAATGAGATCCAAATTTCTGTTGAAAGAACTTGGTTAGCTTGAATTTCATCCTATTGATTTAATTATTGGCAGGAACGTGAAAATACATTCAGTGTAAGAAAGCTGTTTAAAGCCAAAGGGGAAAAAAGTTCTTATTATTCTTACAGCTATTTTCCAAGAAATACTAGATGTTCCAGCTTTAATGCTGCATTTTTAAATCGGGAGGAAAAAAAAATCCATGAGACAGATACCGTTTACGAGTCTTCAAGGAGAACATTTCACTGACATTAAAGGCAACTTTGCAGACTCACTTGAAATGTATCAATTTGTAATCTACACATTTACAGGAGCTTCTCTGCTCTGAAAGCTGTTTCCCAATCTGTGCCAAAACATGTGAGGCTGCCTAGCATACTTCTGATGATAGACCTTCAGGCTCTATTTCTCCATAATTGATTTAGTTATTAGTTATGCAGGGGAGAGAAGAGATCCCTGAGGCTTAGTAAAACAGTATTCAGTTACTAAAAGCAGCCCTTTGTGAATTAATGTTATCCTACCAGCTCTTTCTGCTCATTATTCCTTCAAGTCTTGTTTTCCTGGACACCAGCTGTCACAGAGGAAGTCTCCAGCCTTTTCTTCTCCTGCCTCCTTGGCTGACTGAAGTTGCACTAGCATGGTCTGGAGTGTCTCCTTCACTACCTGGATCTCCCTCTGAAGAGACTGTGCAAGCTTTATTAAGGATTAATCTATAGGTGATTGGCAGTCCCTGTTCTCTTTCCAAGTTATTAAGTAAATTCTTGTTCTGCTGCTCACGACAGATGGCCATGGTTATCTAATTGTAGTTTCAACTTCTTCCAAATTGTTTGGATTAAACATTAATACATTTCTCACACTTGCTTTCAAAAGAAAAATCCAGGCAAACTCAAGTTCTCAAGTAGCATTACTTGGCACTTTAAAAAAGGGAGGGGATGGGGGGATACTGTTTTCATGGGAAGGAAGGAGATATAGAAATTGTACCATGGAGGCAGCAGCATGAGTTGTGAGTTCCCTGCTGGATGAAGGGTGGATTTTTAAGACAGAGACACAGACCTGGGTGGATCAGACCCCAGGTGAAGGCAACAGGGCAGTGGGAACAGTCTGAGACATAACCCAAGTGACTGCAGCTTATGGGGCATTAGTGAGCTTAGCAGCGTGTGCTGTGCAAGGCAGGATGGGAATCTAGGTAAGAAACAAAATGAGCTTATAGCAGAGAAAGTGTTTCTGCTCCACTTACCTCCCCAAACCTTTAACATTAACTAAATTATCAATATAACTGTGGTGCAGAACACACAAATATAAAGCTATACGAGACTCCACAGGCAATGCTTTGAACAAGTTGAAAAGCAAAGAGGGCAGTAGCAAGGTTGTACTGTTGTGCTTTAGAAGGAAGAAGGCTGCTTGAAAAGTATTAAATAATTCAGTATAAAATGCTTAATTTGGTTAAGAAGGAGTTTTCCACATTTTATTGGCCTTTCTACTGGTAGTCTTATATCAGCAAGACTATTCATTGTTGAAAGAAGTGCAAGGAGTGGGTGTAGCTCAATGAGACCAGTGTTATTTTCTCTTCCACAGCTTACACTATGTGAAGAGGAAAGCAAGCAGAGGAAAGTTAAAGCCTGCTGAAATGCTAAACAAATGACCAACTCTACGTGAACAAGGCCTAGAGCCCATCCCAACCACCCTGAGGCCTCCTCTACAGGTATGGCTGAAGGGCAAGGATCCCAAAAGACAGAAACAGTTTCCTTTCTAGCAGTGTGTCATGAAATTATCTTCAGAATCTCACTTCAAGGGAAGTGAAACAGGAGGACACTGAAACAGCTCAGTTTCAAAAATACAATGCACAGAAAAGATAATGCACGAGGACAGTCTTCATCCTTTACAGAGCTCATACATTATGAAATGATGTTTTACTTGACCCCTGATGTCAATACAATGTGAAGAAAAAAAGACAGCCTCAGGTTATACAACTGTAAAAAGTAAGACACTCCTTTTGAAAAATTGCAACTAGAGTAGACCGTGGTAAAGTTATACAAATCACTGCTATTTCAGGAAGTCATTATTATGCCTTTGAAAAGTGTTTTGGCTGCTTTTGATTCTGTTATCAGTTCCTCAAAATTTCATCTTCATGTATTTACATGCATTTACTATGATGTTTTGCTCTTAATATTTGTGCATACTTCTAATTTCTGGACAGCTCTGTTAATCTAAAGGTTTTCTGTCTCTGATTACAAATAATAGCAGTACACACAAAGCTTCTCCTATCCAAGAATGTCAAAGCAGCGTACAAGGACAAATTAATTATGTTTTGCATCTTCTCTGAAGTAAGAAGAGTTATTATCCTCTTATTAGTGGTCCTGGACTCTCCACCCCTCTGCAACTTAATCATGAGGCTCTGCCGAAAATCTAAGTAGTAAAACAGAAATTCTTCAGCTTAAGAACACCATGAAGTCTCTGAAATTTAATTACTTCTGATGTGTAGTCTCTGACTACATGCTGTTACTTGTAATATCCCAAGCATTTAAAAAATTCTTTTCAGGTTGAGAGAAAAAGCAAAATTGAAATGTTTCACCGGATGAAAAGTCTTGAAGGACGGAAGAAAATGACAAAGACAAGGAAAGAAACTTCTAACCAACAGAAAGATGGAGCAACAGAAAAAAGATGACTGGATAGTCTAACTACAGCAAGATCCAATAACCTCATAAATAATACCACAATCATCTGTAGACAAGTATCTGTCAAACAAGCCTTTATGGCTAAGCAAAATATATGGCATATGGCTAAGCATGGAATCTCTATCCATATACAAAGGTTATATCTGGATAAACAGCTTCACCCATTTTAAAAATTCAAATAACAGTTTTGCATGGGTCCACATGCAAAGGTGTTCTTCATGCTTAAATTCTCTACCCAGTGCTGCAACTATTGAGCCAGTATTCAAGGCAGGAGCAAAACCAAGTTTCAACTAGGAATATATTCTGGTTCTGCTGTCTACTTGTGAAAAATTGACAAAATCTCTCCACTGTCTCATAAGCAGTAAATTAAAGTACTTGGGTACAGTTTCACACAGACACAACCCATATTCAACAACGCTGAACATTGTCTTCCATTAAGCTTTTCACCTATTTGACTTCCTCTCTTTGAAAAACTTGAGTATCACGAGAAAGTCCATGATTTACACAGAGATAAAAAGCAGATCTAAATACTGCTCATTGGTGCAGCTTCTGTTCTCTCAGCACAGATGTTTAGAGAGTCAAAAGGTAGATATTATGAATCAATTTCCTGTAGGAAAGATTAGAAACTAAGAGATATGTTGTAAAACAAAAAACCTTAGAAGGATAATCAAGGACTACTGCTGAGCTAAGGGCTTCTGGGATTTCGGAGAATAACAGCAATTTTTGGACATCTGAAGAAGAAATTGTCTTGAAGAACAGAAATATCAAAGATGTTTTGTGGGGGGGTTTTAAATTGGTTAACTATTGTTCTTGTTTCCAACAGCTAAAAGTTACAGTGGCTGGAGACAGAAACTCTGCTAGATGTACCACCACCTAACTGCACGTGTCTCTTCTAACCCCAGGCTCTCCTACACATGAAGTGGCCAGCCAGCTGGAAAGTAGCTCTGCAGGAAAGGACCTTAAGGTCATGAGGGACAGAGCTGAACATGTGCCATCAATGCATCTTGAGGCAAAGGTGGCCAACAGCCTACGGGGCTGGATTAAGAAAACGCTGCCAGCAGGGGTAGGGAGCTGATACTTTCACTACAGGCAGCAGTGGTGAGGTCCCATCTGGATGCTGTGGGCTCCACAGTAAAAGACAGAGATGGACTCTCAATGTGACTCAGAGTGGGAAGGGTTCAGTCTCTTATGATCTAAAATAAAATCAAAGAGGGTACCACTGCCACCTCTCACTCTTGTGGGATCCCAAAATCTCTTACAGGTTCACCCAGGCTGAGATTCCTCAGTGAGGTACAGACAAGGCTAAATTCTACACTTGTGATTCTGTTGAAAACCTACTCTGGTGTAAAACAAGACTTGTATGAGTGCCTGCCATATGATAAAGGTGAAAGGTTAGCAAAGTGACCTGCAATGCTTAATGAACATTTAGGCACAAAATTCCATTTTCGAAATAGCTGATTAAAATGTCTGTTTTAGGGCAAGGAATGAAGATTGCTTTTCTAATAATACTCTAGCCAGGTTTTCTTCCAACAAAGCATTTTCCTGAGGACAAACTATTACATGCATTCAAATTGTCTATCAAAATGAAACTGCTAATTAAGAACAAAAATTACTGTGAAATTGCAATATAGGCTCCATTTAATTTTAGTGGGAATTCCAGGTCTTTACTGTCAGGAAAGTAACACCTCTCATCAGCTCTGCAGACACCAGAATGAGTCACCTCTCATCCTTTGGTTTTTCCAATTAATGATGTGGACTGTTTTCATACACTCACTAATGATTAATCATAATTGAATGTTTTGTGGGTTTGTTTGGTTATACTGTGTAGAATTCAGCAGATCTGTCGTAGTGCTGCAGAGAGCTCTAACAACCCCCCTGCCATTGTTTGATGCTTTTTATACAAAAGTACAGTTTAATGTTTGCTGTGAAAAATTTCAATAATAAATTAGAATCACAAGTGGGTCTGTGCCTATACTCAGGACCAAGAAATATCACTAAATTTCTCCTTTGTTCAGTTCATGTTGGCAATATGACGAGCAGCATGGTTGATTCTATGTTAATCAACGCGTGCTATGCCATCAAAACATAGAATGTTTCATAGAATGAAAAACAATAACATCTGGGTTTTTTCTTCTAATACAAACTTAATTATTAATCAAAGCTATGACACACACTAAACATTGGCAAATGGCTTGAGAGTATCATGAATTTATTTTTCTCAGTGGAGTCTTTAAAAGTCTTTTAATAATCAGACCACAGGACTAGTTTACATCTGTGCAGCCCCCAGGTAGATTTTTGACCTAGTACAGTTTGCTACATTCATGTGCAAGGCAGTTTTTTGGGGGGATGATGGGAAGGGTGAAAATAATCAGTGAACAAGAGTTTGAGAGCATGAGCTTAAATATCTGAAATTGTAATGAAAGCAGGATAAGTTTTTCAGAGTTCTAAAGATTTTTAATGAAGACTGCATATTTTCCACTATTGTGATAGGAAATTATTTAAAACCAAATAAACTACTATGCAAACAACAGATCCATCTATTAATCATCCATCTCCTATTGAGGGTAATTGTTGTCTCCTATCTCAGTACTAGTTCCTGAAATATATTCAATTTACCAATGAGTGAAAGTTTATTTTATAGGCACTGAGCAGTTTTTATTTTTAAAAAACTCACAACAATCTACAGGTCTGTAGCACTGTGGTAGCTATTTTTCTCATTCCTTTTTGAAGGATAGCTCAGTGATTACATGTACCAGATGGTAACATTTTATGCACATTGATCTGGGCTACTTCTGAAATAGCAACTGAATGTTAATGAGGGGTAGCTGAATCGCTGAACTGCTTCTTTGTATGTCCCTATGTTTTAAACATGTTTTTTTATTTTGTGACTGATGGTCTTGCGAGGACCAGGACATCACACAGTGTGCATTTCTGTATTTAGGTAACGTGAGCTGAATTTCACTGATAGAGGAAATCAGATCTCTATCAGACAACCGTGGCTTAAAACAAGACTAATCTATAACACTTCTGAAACTTCCAATGATTAATTTCATTTTTTCAACTGACTCTTGCAGTTTGAACAGCTATGAAGAAATATGGATACTCCATAAAAAGTACAAATACTACTATTTTTCATACTCGTAGTGTATTATCTTCTGTAACCAAAAATGCAGTTTTTCAGCTTATTTTATCTTACCTTATAGTAAACTATAACTATGATCAGACCTGACTGTTCAGAAGGTCATTAGTTTAAATCCCCTGCAAAGAGCCCATAACTCCAACCCTCAATACTCTTCTTCTACTAGGGCCAATTAAAAAAGATCATTTAAGAGTAAATATACATAAGGGAGGAAGGAATTAGATGCTGTACACAGAACCAAGTATGCACTCTGTAAATATAGTTAAAAGAATGTTGAATCTTTCTATATATTGTCTGTATATTGAAATGCTTAGAAAAGAAAGATTTGAAGTGGTAACAAATTACTGACTGGATTTTGTCCCCTCCGATGCAACTTTGCCCCAGCTCCATTCTCCCCTCCACCCGTCTCTTAAAGTTTATCCTTCTGATACCTTTAAATAAACCAAGTTTTTAAAATAGGAATTTTGCAATGACTTGGCAACTGATGCCAAATTACTTAAAAAACAGTGGTATTTCCACGCACTATTTTTTCCTCCTTTCTCTAAACTACCCCACCTCAGCTTAGCAGGAGCTGAATCCTTTCTAGTACCATCATCACCTTAACTCACCTTCAGGTGTCTGCAAGGGCTCCTCTGCTAATCTCTCCAATCTGAATTTATTAATCTTTCTTCATTATCCTCTCGACTGACACCTCTTCTTCAAAAAAACCTTACCAGCTAAGCACTCTCATCTTCCCTGGCCACCTTGGTTCTTTTTCTCTTTACCCTTTCTCAGAAGAACAAAATCTCTTTTATGATACATTTTTCCTATGAAAGTTACAAATTAAATTAAAAAAAATCTGTGCCCTTAAATTTTGAAATTTTGAAAAATTCCTAATGAATGCCTCATAAAGGTTAAGCAATCTTAAAAAAAATACTGACAGATGAAGCACAGAAAGAGATAAGGGTGCATAAGACATCTCATCTGGTTGCTTCCACTGGAGTATTAGAGGCAGATTAAATTTTGTAGGATGTCACGATACATCTGTTTCCCACTTTTTTTAAAAATGAAAAAACCCCAAACTATATGTAACAATATACACAGTCTGAGTCAATAATGTAGGATTTAATTTAGTTAAATCATGTTGGGAAATGCAGGTGCATGAACACTTGTATCCATGCAGCTTTCGGTGCATCATGTTTTTACTTATATGAGCATTACAAACAAAATGATTTTAACAGTAAAATAAAGTCTTTTCATTGCCTAATCTCAATTTACAAAGAACTAATTTCTATTTAAATCAATTAAAGCTAGATCAGACCACAATGAAAATGCACTGCAGGAAACAAAAATGCCCATTTCAGCAAGACAATTAATTCTTCCATTCTTAATGTATCAAATCTACAATAAGAACTAGCATTCCATGTGAATCTGAAAGGTAAGTATTTCATGTACATACTTACATAGATTGATACATATCTATAGCTATAGCAAAAAGGATATGAATAACTCCTTCATCAACTCTGCAGGTGGAACTTTGCAATTGATCTTCCAGATGCACCAATTTCTCACTTATTGCTTCACATTTTTCTCCTAACTCTGCAGAAAATATGAAGAACTCCTACAGAAAGTTGAAAAAGAAAAAGAAAAAGGCATGTTTGCTGCTGGCTGCACTTTTATACATCAAATTTGCATCAAATAAAGGGAAAATAAAATATTAGTAAGAGGATATGATGCTTTGCAGTGCAAAGACATTGCCTAAAAGCAAATTGCTATTAAAGAGACAAAAAGCTGTTACTGTATAATAAATTGGTGATTTATATGAAATGGAATGAGTTTGTGGTCTCAGTCTACTTCCCAGCAGAAACAAGTCATGATATCACTTTCAGCAGATGATTAAAGGGGTGTGAAGACCAAACTGCTCTCCATTTTCCCCTGTTGACTCACCACAGCAGGAGAGGTCTCATGCTGACCACAACATTTAGGTTTCCAAATTTCAAGTTGTTCATATAAATATGATTTACACTTTTCGGTCACTTAAATATCTCAAGCAGCATCACTTTTTGTATCTCTTATAAACACAAAATGTACTTACATTTTTGAAGAAAAATCTGGCTGGAATACTTAGGGACTTTGTTCAATTAATCAAAGAAAATGTGTCAAAGTCTTGGAGATTATGAGACAAAACTATGCTTTTTTACTGAATTATCATTAAACAAAACAATATTTCAAAAATAATGGTTTTCTACTTAGAATTTATACAGACAAATACTTCTGCCATTTTACACTAGTTTCAAAGTCCTTCCCATAATTTTTTTTCAGATACACTGCACAAGAATAATTGTTATCTTTGACATTTTTCAGTGAATTTGAGAAACGACCCGAGCAAGCAGCAAATATGAAGAGGGAAAAAAAATGAAATCAATTTGTGCAGCTCTGAGGCAAGCCTTTCCTCTCCCTCCCACAGCACCATAGCACTGCCTACAGTGAATGACAGGGATTATTTGTAAGGAAAAGATTATAGTGCCAAGATGAAATTCTGCTGCAGCCATGTTGAAAAAAAAAATTGAATAATTTATCAGCTGGGATCCAGAAAACTGGATTTTCTCTAAACCTGATCTATGCACTCATCCATAAAGCAATATGACCATGGGGCCATATACAATTTACAGAAAGTTTTTCCTATGCTAAAAAAAAAAAAAATGTACTTGGGGTCCTTTGCACTGATTTGTTGCTGTAAGAGCAACCACCAGTGGTTGTCTAAGAAAAGTCAAGCCTTCAATCAAAGGCCTTCCAAATAAATTGGGCCAATGCTTGTTGGAACGCTGGCCATTTGGTAAACACATTTACCAGACCTCAGTTCTGTGCTATCCTTTCACTTTGCATCACACAGTGCATAGGAGGAGTCAAATGTGAGAAGAGCTGTGCTTCCTGGCACATCCTCAATTATGGCACAGAGCTCTGACCCTTCTGCTTCCCTAGGGCCTCTGCCAGACATGGCTATCCAGCACATTGCACAGGTGCAAAACCACCTGCAGCTCAAACCCTGGACGGGTGGGCTTGTTAAGAGAGGTCATGTTGCAGACACTGGCAGTTTAGACACAGAGCAGCACAACACCTGAGTCCCTGGCTCTGTACACAAGACCAACATCTCCAGAGACATTACCAAACATGAGAATCTACAGCAGCACTTCACAGAACTTACAGATGTGAAAATTACCCTTTGTTTTTAAAATGACAACAGGAGAGAAGAAAGAAAACATTTTCCTTGCAGCAACTAGGAACATCCTTTTCTCATGACCAGGAACAGAAGATGAGGACAAAGTCTTCCATTCAGCAGCTACATTATTACTCAGTATACCAGCAGGACTCCATATGCTGCTATGGAGTGGGATAACCCAAGCAATTTCTATCAACAGAAAGCTCTTAGTGAATCATTCTGTGACATGCATGCAAGAACAGATGACAGTTGTCTAAAAGACCTTAGGTCTTGGGCTAAAAAACTCAGTAAATAGAAAAAAATACCGAGTACTCTGAAAGCACATCTAAAACTACGACCATGTAGGGAAAGATCCACCTTTGATCACTGATTTTCGTCTAACAGTAATAACATGTAAGAAAATCAGGTCTTCACATAACTGTCATTTCTAACAGCAGCTTAATTTCTCTTTAATACATCCGTAACAGTGTAGGAATAAACTATTTCTGCATCTACATAACCCAGCTGCCTTTTTAGTTGAAATGAGAAGTTCCTCCAATACTTTAGACCAGTATTGTCTCACAGGAACTTAGTTGCACGTGTCATATGAAAAATGCAGGAGAACCATCACATAAAGTATGATTTTCCAGAACTTATATATATAAAAGAAAATGGAAAAAAATATACACTGCTCTCAAAAATACACAATAATAATTCTAAATATTCAAGCAATTCCACAGTTTCTGCCCCCAAGGCTTCGTTTGAAAAAAGTTTGATAACCCAGAGAAGTAGATAGAAAAGAATTCTCTTAGTGCCTTTTATGCCTGGTAGCATCACTGGTAATATTTTTATTTGACATTTGTCTATGTAGGCAGGGAAACCACTGTCAGCGACACAAAACTATTCAGAATAGCTCCCGGTTGGAAAGTGGCACTTTACACTGATCAACAATATCTCTGAGAGGAGAGTGGACTCTGCCTCAAGCTCAACATATTAATAAAATACAACCCATCCAGGCTTGTAGGTTATCTCAGTGTTACAAGCTGCTGTAGGTCTTAAGATTTCTTTGGTTATTTTTGCACTAGCATCACTTTTAGGAAGCAGCTAGGAGAGATTGCCGGAGTCAGGAAAGAGCTGAGATGCAATATTGCTTTATGGATTTTTCTGTAAACAGGGAATGTAGCTGGTTGGGATTTTTTTTTCCTCTAAATCCTTAAGCCAGTGAAAACAGCACAAATAATGGACGTGAATTATTTTTTAAGGTGAAATTCTTCTGCCTTCTCACATAAAGTAGAAATTCTCATGCTTTCCCAGAGATGTAAGAGCCTGATGCAAAAAACAGTAAGAACAATGTTCCAGATGATGTATTGCTGGAACATCAGCATACTGCATTAAGAGCAGAGGGAATGGCTTCTGGTTTAGTGTTCTGCATTTCATTTTACTCTTTTACAAGTTGTTTTAGTAACCTGTGAGCAATAGCTCCTCAACAGCATTACTCAAGGAGAATGTCTGATCAGCTTTTCCAGTGCAAACACCTTCTGTGCTCTTGAATCTGGTTCAATTTTATACAGAACAACCAGAATTGTAGTAGCAAGATTAAACTAATTCTATTATGGATTAGAGTCTATATTAGAGTCTTAGGTTATTGTGCTGAAAAGCAGGATTCACAGATATATCCTTAAAATTCATTCTTCTTACAGAGGAACTTCTGTAAAAAGGCGTTGCTTTACTTCCAAGTAGCACCATCATAATTCCAATAAGATACAAGCCTTAGAAGACCTTCTGCAGAGTCAAAGCCAGATTTCTTTCACCTGCACTAAATTTTCTCTACTATAACAGTTAAAATAATTCAAAATAACATAAATAACAACTACAAAAAGTTGCCCTTGCAGACAGACACTTCTCATTATGGCACAAGGTTTAGAACAGTGACCTATTGTTGGCAGAAGTGCTGCATGTTTACCCTCGACCCTTGCAGAAGTTAATGGCAATTGTCAGCACTTGAAACTCCATAACATCAGGCCAGGGTATCTCTTAAATAATTTCTAGAAACAAAACACAACAATCCATATGTTTGTCCTGCTTGAGCAGATGCTTCAGTCACATGCAGGCTAAGTGCACATGACCCCAGACAATGAGCTACACACCATGAGGTGTCCAAAGTGCAGGTGGAGGAAGCATTCGTTCCTGCTCTGCATCCCAGATTTCCTGCCCCATATGCATTGTTCTGGGCAGAACAATCATAGATGCGGAAGGCAACACGTCCACCGAGAAGAGGTCTAATCTCTGAGTTTGAAAATAATGAATGTTACTTGTGACCAACACCATCATAGCAAGGTTGACCAGGAAGCAACCAGGGACCACCGAAGCCCACTCTGTGACTTGCAGTGTGACCAAGCCTACTGTGACTAGGCTCAGCTGGTGTCTGTATATGTGGCTCTTAGCAGCTGACAATGGATGGTTGCAGGGTACTGGCTCCAGGGCTAAACTGCCCTTGCCATGAGCAAGTCTTCATCCTGCAAACTTCTCTTGCTACAAACCAGGATGGTTACATTTCATTTTACCCTTAAATAGCACACACCATTAACTACTAGTTGTCCTGTTTATCATTATGTTTTATGTGGTTGAAGATTTTGACTTTCAACCAGACTATGATTTCTAAACCTTTTATTTCTATTCCTTTCCTTCTTTTCTTCACTGTGTTCCTGTCTTCTGCAGAGTGAGGTGTCCAAACCATAGTCCTCTGGAGGCTTTAGCATTCTCAGCTAAGCACAGTAATTATTTCTGTCTTACAACTGACATTCCCATTAATGAGGCTGCAAGTGACATTTGCCCTTTCTTCCAGCTCAATGAAGGTAATGAATCCCACTATATTTGTAGTCCACTATAAGCCTAGATTCTTCTTCTGCAGTATTGCCATCTCAGTGGCTATTTACCATTGGTATATATAAATTGGACTCTTTTTCTCCCTCAAATGTAATTTGCACCTGTCTTTTAACATATCCCTTTTTATTGATTTCAGGCTATTCTTTCAATCTATCAAGAGCATTTGAAATTCTAATCCTAATTGAAATTATGTTGACTGGCACATAAACTCCTGGCCTACCTCCTTTTTAAAGGTAAATACCATGTCTGCCTTTTACTGACCCCCTGGGACTTCAAGCTTCCTCTAGGAGTTTTTGAAGAAGCTTGTTAATGGTTTGGAGATTGTTTTCCTTGGCTCCTATGCACTCAGAAAAAATTTCATCAGTCTAGCCTGACTTGAGTACATCTCATTTGCCTTAGGATCCTTTACTGTGTTTTGTCTCTTGCTACCTGGTAGCAAATACCAAGAGCACTACATATTTGGACATAGCTTATCATTTTTAGAAAGACCAAAAGTAAAAAAAAAAAAAAAAGAAGAAAAAAATAATTCTGATCTCATTTCTTTTCTCATTCACCTTTCTTATTAGAAGACACACATGCTCACTTTCACCTATCTCTTACACACAACTTGTACCTGAACTCTTTTAACATTTCACATCTTCTGTTTACAATAACTTAGTGTGCTTAGTGGTCTTGCTGCCTTCACTCTTACATGCTAAAGTACCCTTTTAGAGTCATTCTTGGGAACATTTTTGCCCTTTCCTTTTCAACACTCTTTTGAGCTGCTGAAAAGCTGCTGACATGGATAGGTAGTCTGTGACTCTGCTTGTTCTTTTCTACACCAAAAGAAGACAGTGCTGTACTATAAACCTGATGTCTTCAGGACAGTACTGAAGAAAATCTGCTGATTCCTCTTCCTACAGAGCTTGTCCCATGTAAACTCACTTGTTGCTTCTTCCCTGATTTTGTTTAGGTGAGTTTTTCTTTCATGGAAGTAGCTATCCACCTTTTCTCAGAAAAGAGATCAAGGTTGTTTCCCAGTTACTCTTGCTCTTGTCACCTTCCACTTACAGACTGCTAGCTTGTTCCATCAGCCTATTTATGTATATTTAGGAGATTTCAGCACTACAACACACTCCCCACTTTGTCATATGCAACAATTCAGGCATAAAGCTTTCCAGATAGCTGTTTTGCAACTGTGGCCTACCTCCTTCCCACCAATCACACGCTTTTCCCACACTTCCTTTGCTTGCACTGATCCCCTTCCCTCCACCACAGGGATACAACAACACATGGTAGTGTTAAATGACTCATCGGAATTGCCAACATCCAATGTTGGCAATTGTTCCCTTTCTTTTATCTTCCATTACAGCTATGGAAGAGTGTCCTTGGAAAAGCATCTATGCAGGAATAGAGTTTTTCGCTGCATTCCAGCACCCTGCTGTAGGCTGACAGCAGTCTTCCCATTCTCATCCCTAGTAGACTGAAGATCTTCCCCAACTACAGATTTTCTAAAATGAGAGCACACTACTGCACTGGCTTATTTAATTAAACTGGGACAATTCCAGTTCCTGCTGTGGGAGGATAAGGCTATTTACTGGCTTACCAATAAAAATTCACAGTGGGTCAGGACTTGGAAAAGGAAACAAAAGCACCAAACTGTTTTCCAGTGTCAACACCCTGCTGTGAAAGGAGTCAGCGTAGCTGGGTATCATTTATAGGTGGTTCCTTGTATTCACTCCCATCTCTGCTCCTGAGTCACTAAGATGAAACAATCTGGAATGACTAACTGGGTGCTCTCCTGCAGACAGTGGGGAGACTGACAAGAAAGGATTAGGGGACCAGAGCATCAAAGGAACACTTAGGCAAAGCCTTGACATGGTACAGGGTGCTGACAGTTCCACAGAGCTTTTATAGAGCTGTCTACAAGTCAACATCAATCCATCTCTGGCAGTGTGGTAGAGCCTGGCTTTCTAGCATATTTCCATTTCCTTTATTTGTATCATTGCTTTCTATTGTCTTTATACACTATTTTCCCCCCTCAAAACTTCAAAAGGGCAAAGTTTCTCCACTTCTGAGGACTGTAAGATATTAAGCTCTTAAAGAATACTTCTACAGGCAGCCCTGTGAGCTCTGGTGCCCTCAGTATTTTGCCCTGATGGAAGTAGGGCTTTTTGCTACCTTTATCCCGCAGGACTGCCTCTCCCCTATTTCACGTCATCTGTGGACACAAGCACCTGCACAGTTTTGCTTTAATTCATAGCAAAGTTCACTGATCAGAAAGGTCATTTGCATTTTCTGCAAAGTTCACCTTCATTCTCAAGGCTTCCTGTTTTTATTTATGCTGACCTCACACACAGTCAAGCAGTCTGTCCTAGGCATGCTCTCATGTCACATTCTCCCTGAACACAAGGTCAACAATCTGAATTTGCTCTTGCAATATCTTGTATCTTTCCTAAAGCATTCCAGCCGATCCAGTCTTTGGATTCACTGGTGGGAATCTAAAGAAATGCCTCATCTGAATAGTTATCCTAAAATGCAGTATTTATTTATTTAATATTTGCTTGGCTGAGCACTTGTCACTTGTACTTGATAGGTGGCATGTATGCTATTATGGAAGGTGAACTGAGGGTTACTTGTTCATGCAATTTATTTGCTGGCTGGACACAATGCTTGGACACTAGATTTCCCTTTTAAATAAACTGCAATTCAAGGCATACTGATGTAAAAATGGACAAGACTAAAACAGTACTGCTCTTAGTATCAGTATAACTCTCCTTACACTTACATTACCTAAACTCTTAGTTTGCAGGTAGATGGATTTTTGTATATAAGCAGATTTTTCTCACAGGAAATGTATCTTATGTTACTTAATTATCCCAGCCTTCTTAAATACATGGACTAGGATGTGACATATTTTTGTTTATGAAAATAATGTAAAATTACAAACATCCAGTATTTTTATTCAGATGGAATTCCTCTTACCCTGTATTCTGCCACAGTCTGTATGCTTTTATACTCCAAAAGTAAATTGAAAGGTATTTTTAGTGGTACACAAGAAAACAGGCTAAGCATCATGACTTTGTTCCATTCCTAAGCATCAAGACAGTGCTACAAGTAAGGCTGGCTAAATATTATTGGTCCTACTTTTCCCAAACATATTCGTGCTGTTGCTGGTATATTTTAAAATTATTAGCACAGGATTTAACTATAAAATCCCTGAAACACTCAGCAACTTTGCCATTATTTTCAATGAAAAAAAAAAAAAAAAAAAGGAATGGGCCCACTCTCATTGTGATTGTGTTGCTTTTCTAAGTGCTCACACACTCTTCAGCAATTTTTACCCCAAGGTAACACTATAAAAACAAGTGTCATTAATTCTAATTGAAACAAAGAGAAGTCTGTACAATACCACCACTTTATTTTGCCTAGGAAACACTTACCTCAGACAAATGACCTTCTGTTCCAAATGAAATGTCTTCCATAACCTGTTAGAGATAAATTATTAAGTATATAGTAGATACATGCTATATAAACAGTACTATTTCAATGTAACTTATAAAAACCATACAGCACAATAAAATTTATATAAGCTGAACAACTGCATCAATTTGCTTCACATGCAAGAAAGATTTAAATTGCACTTGTAATGGGGCAGTGGCAGCCACCCAATCTTAAAAACTATATTTGAATACATTTTATTAAAGCCTGTCTTTGGCCTCTCAATTAAAATGCACAGGGAATACTGCCTCTAAAATGGAAGGACTAACTATAGACTGAAACAAACTTTTCTATCAAGCTTTTGCAGATCTGTATACTGTTCAAGAGTCTACAGAAGTATTTTTTGCATAAACCCTGTACATGAGTTTGCTCAGGAGAAATGAGAGACCCCACTGATGTTTTCTATTGGTAACACGTGCTAACTATAGTAAGTTCCTCTTTCAAAACTTGCTTCATCTGTGAAGTCTGTAAGGAATTAGCCAACATTTCACTGATTGGCTGAGGAGCAAAGAAATTTGATGTTAACTTTACTGGAAAATCATTAATACTTATCACATGTTACAGTATTGATAATCTTTACATAAACTGAGATAAGCATATTGCTTTGGTAGGGCAGTACTTGGTATCAGAGGTAGGTACATAAATATATAAAAAAGTGCAAAATCATTAATCTGCCATAAATTCATCATTGTTACTGGATACTATTTTCAATAATCAATCTGAAAAAAGGTTGCTTAGATTTCTTTTGCCCATAATATTAATTTTCAGATTATATTTTTACCGCAAAATACATGTAAGCTTTAAGCCTACTGTGATGCTACAACCCCTAGCTAAAGAGTTAGCATTTTCACTACACCACAGAATCAGATGAAGCTGAGGGGCATTGTGCTGTACAACTACGCACGTGACTACACAGCGATGATCTGACCACTGTGTACAAGCCAGCTGCCTGTTGCTACTGAAATCCTTTCCAGCTTGGATCAATACAAAAAACACAGAAATGCTGACTTTCAGTAATGCTTAATGCTGACACTTAAAACTCAGATTAAATTTAAAGTTTCCAAATTATTTTTTCAAAGCTTCACAAATACAACATTTAATTAAAACTCAAATGAATGCACAGTTTATTTAGCTTTTGAAAGGCTTTGTCCTTTACACATTGCCCATTTACCTCCTGGACCATAAGCTATCTCAATGCACAGTAATGAGTTACAGCCTGCTTACAAAGCCTTTCTTGGTCTTGCTATCACTAAATTCTGAAAAATGTTGTATTATGTCCTGTGATAGCTTCTTTTTAATGAGAGACACCACACTAAATATTATTATTTTTTCATAATTTTTCATTTGGTATCACTTAGAACACTCAGTACCTTTTAAAAAGTTAATTACATGAAGGCTTTACAATTATAGAACATCTTCCCAACACCAGTATGATCTTCAAAAAACCCCAAAACATCATCCCAGGGGGCAAAAATTAAGTATGCAGAGGTGAAGAAAAGACAGCAGCCCTTACCCTTATCCCTGTTCTCTACTCTTTTATGATGAAAAAGGAAGAAGTGATCTACAAAGAATTCTCATGGGAAACTACCAAAAATGCTGACTTACAAAAGGTAAAACTACTGAATTTTGGATTTTACCTTGTAACTTTAATCACCTCAATTTTCTTGAAATCTAGTAGGTGTTTCTTTCCTTCATAGTGATTAAGAGGGAGCACTGCACAGCATGCCAGAGAGCAGAAGAAGAAGAAAAAAGGATAGGTCAGGAACTCAAGCCTGCAGGTGCACACATACCCAGGTTCATCAAGTTACTTGCTGTTAGGAAGGTCCCAGCACACACACATCTTTCAGTTTATTAGTTATCATTGATGTTTCCGCTGTTATAAAAAGCTTTTGCTTACACATAAGTTATCAACGAGCAAAAAATAAAGCAAGTTATCATAAGGAGTGGAACAAGCAGGCATTGTCTGAAGAAAAATGAAATGCTACTGTATATTTTAGAAATCACACAGATATGTATCTAACTATGTAGTAAGGATCATAGCAATTTCCACCTCACTCACATATCACCCAGGCAAAATAATTTCCAGTCAGTTTAGAAGTATGGAACATTTCTAGGATGAAAACTAGAACCTATCTTAAATTCCTCAGAGACCTGGGAGAAAAATCAAGCCCAAATAGTCACAAAAAGACAAACTACAACTGCAATGATAGGGTACCCTAATTTCATCAATATAGCTACCAGCTGGAAAGTATATTCTTATATGAAAATTCAATAATCTATATCAAATAAATTAGACAAGCTGACTTTCACATGACTGAGGGTAGTAATATTGTCTGCAACTTTGCCTCAGCATTTTTTTTAATACTATAGTCTAATGAGTTGTCTGTAATTGAGAAAAATACATCTTATTTTTTAAGTAACTCAGAGTGTTTCACAGGTTGATTTTTGCTGGCCCCACTTTATTTAGTTCTGACCAAGACATTAGTAATGATGCTTCAACAAGCTGAGCTGTAAAAACATGTGATTGTCTTCCCTGGTTAACAGTCAGTGTTGTAAAGGAAACCTAATTTACAGAATTATTTTGGGATGCCAGTCTACCACATAAAAGCTGGGAAAAAAAATCAGCAGTCTGAGAAAACACAGTTATGAAAACTATAAAATAACTGTTGACAGTTAATAAACCTGTGCTCATATGACAGTAAAATACTGAACTTTCAAAGAATTTATACGTTACATATTTTTAAAACAGAACATGTAATATTTTGTGATCTAGTGGAGATATTTAATTAAAAATGATACACAGTCCTTCTACAAAGCAGTATCTGAGGATCTTAGTGAAGGGCTCTTTCGATTCATCTATTTTGCTTTTCTTATAATTATTTTTCTTACTTAGTTTTTTGCTTTCTAATGAAACAAACAGTAAGATACAGTTATATGCAAGAACACTGTTTATAGTACACACCAACAAAACCAATATCCACCCAACACTAATGTTTAGCTAGATATGACACAATAAATAACTGGAGAGCTTCATTTATAGCATTTCACTGTAAAGTAAATCAATCACCTGGGAATGAAATGTACCCTCCAAGGCATATATGTACATATGCTATCATTAGCCTTTCCTATACTGTTTTGAAGTAAGTAATTCAGTAACCTCTAAATACAAAGAACATCACTTTTTCCTTCTACTTCGGTGACCAACAGTGCTCTCTAGAAATTCCCCAATGGGGAACAGAGGTTGTGACACAGTTGAGGAGATTAGTCATTTCTCCTAGTTTTGGCCAGGACAGGGTTAATTTTTTTACAGTAGCCAGGAAGAGAGCATGGCCAGACCCTAATTATTGGTCATTCAATACCATCACAGGGCCAGAGTAAGGGACTCAATCTCTCTGTGGGGAAAGCTAAGTGTGGTAGGGAAGAGCCAGTTGGTATTCTGTCTGGTTTTTTCCATGTAGATTGTTTCTTTGTCTTATACCTTTTGTTACTGATATTGTTGCTGTTACTGTTCCTTATCTTATCTCAACCTGTACTTTTCACCTTTTTGGACCTCCAATTCTCAACCTCATCCCTGGAACAGGAAGGGAAAGGGGTTAGGGGGGAAAGGAGCTAGCGAACAGCTTCTAGTTTGGGGGAGTCTCAGTTGGGGAGGGGCACTAAACTGGGAAGTGTCATTCCTAAACTATGACAATATTCCAGAAACATGGCAACCAAAGCAAGCTACTCCTCTCACAGAAACACCAGAGGCTTGGTAAATCATATCAAACCAAGTATTCTGACAAATTCATGCTTCTCTATTAGGTATTCTCACTTGCTAATAAATGGCTATAAAAAGGTTCTCTACTAATGGACAATGATAAGTTTTTCCATAAAAGTAATATAAACGGCTATATTTAGAGACTAAGCACCACACTGCTATTTTTTTGGGGGGGGGCACAAATACGAAATTAATTTTTAAATAAAATAATACACCACCACATAACAGAGCACTTAAATGTTTCAGAAGCGGTTTGTTTTTCAACTAAGTCCATTTACAAATCAAGGCATATTCTCTTTTGTACTTCGACACAATCAAAACTGTAAGTTAGCATGATTTGTGTCCGAGTTTTTTGTTTGTTTTTATATTCTGCCTTGTGATGAACTACTAAGAGATGTTAGGGATGTTATTCTGCTACAGGTCTTCTCTAAATGTTTAGGGCCTGTCGACCCTACTGACATCAACCTAAAGCATTCTTTTCTGGGTAAAACTTCTATACCCCACAACAAAGAAAAAAAATCTCAGCTTCTAAAAGTATAAAAGCAGGCAACCCAACCCTAAATCCAGAGCCAGAATACGGTCATTATGTTGGGGGAGTTTATGGTTGCAATGGGTTGCAGTCATCACTGATGCATAACTTTGCCTCAATGGTCAAAGCTGCAGGCAGCACTGAAGAAATAGAAAGCTGGTTGAGTAAGTCATGATAAAACAGAGCTCTGTTGCTCAACTTCATTTAAAAGTTGGACAATACATGACCAGTCTCATACCAGCAAAGCTACTTCTTTTTTTTCTTTCAAGTTTATCAGTCATAGGAGTGCTGCAGCAGATGGAGGAGTACCTCCACAAGGCCTTCCCTGAAGGACATTTTCATGTTTACACATCAGCTTCTGAATGGATTTTGGCACATTCTCAAAATGGAGTTTATTCAGGATGCCAGGATGGGCCATTTATACCATGAAGTTTAAGCACCTAGATGAAGAGCTGAAGTTAGTGGGTAGTCTTCCTAAGTTCCCTCTATGACTGATAGAAGCATAGAGGAAATAATGGAAAAGCAAGTTTAAAAGGAGGAGTTTAATGCAAGCGTACACTTTCCTCTTCCATTTAAGATATGGGGAACCTGTCCCTTGACTCCTGCACCTCTCTCCAGAACCAGAGGTCACCTAACTTCAGCTGCCCAGATGTCCTTCTAGGATAGCAAGGTTGATTTTCAGGGAAACGATCTGGACTTGTAAGGGTTAAAGAGGTGATAATCTATAGTACAGATCTCAGGAGTGCTATAGAAACAGTCACAAAACCCCAAACCCTCCAGAGCTTCTAAGCTGCACTTTTGAAAGGGGAGCACAATATTCCATAACCAACAGAACTCCTCGTATTACTTCAGTAGACTCATCAGAAATATGATAACGGAGGGGTAGAGATGGAATCAAAGCCACAGCTGACCATTTCTAATAAAAACATTGTCTATGTGGAGTCAGTCCATTGCAACCATTTTCCTTGGGAAAAGACTGCAAGAACTACTGAAGCCCGATATAAAGTCAGAATTTTACTTACAAGAGATTTTACAGTAAGGTAAGCATCTGCTTTCCTCTAAGTCTCAGCCAGTATGAATGCAAAATTAGGCATCAGATTTCAAAGCAACGCATAGTTCAATGGCTCTTAACATCAAATGCAATTAGGAACACTTTAAATTTTTGTCAACTAAATTCCATGGTAATAAAACTAATGACTCCTGTTGGAAGGTCTTTTTGTCACAGTGGTGCTGTTGGGTGATGAAGCTTTTTTAACAGCTTGTTTACCTTGGTAGTACAGTTGTACATTTTTCAAGCAGGATGGCATTCCAGATCAGAACAGAACATGAAAACTTAAAAGAAATTTGTCAAACCTTTTAAGCTTCATGATTTTTTTTCCTCCTTTTTGTACTTGCTGGATGCTGTAAGCCTATTAGCATCTAAGCTTGGAAGCCTTTGACCATTTCACTAAGGGAGGAAAAAATTTACTCTCTCCTCCAGATCCAGGCTAGCAAGTGAGCAGAACCAACTCAGAGTGAAACTTGTCAGCGAGATGAGGAATATCTGATAATTTGAGTTAAACACTTAATAGTTTGTCCTTTACATCCTGATGTACATTCTGTATTTATAGCCTGAATAATTTCCACATTTTAAAAAGACTGATGGTAAAAGGAAAAAGGGTTGAAGGGCTTCTGAGAAGCTAATAAGCTATTTTATTCATGTCCCAGATAGGAGGCCAGATGTTAAGTTCATACTTAACCTGCCCTGCTGACCCGTCACCAAAATTCAACTCTTTCTCTCAAAAGGAAAACCATGAGTATTGCTTGAAATGCAGCTGTAAACTATTTCAGATACCTCTTTCAGCTCACTGTGTTTGTGGCAGGAAACAGTAACCCACTCTGTGCCCTTCAAAAAGTGACCTTCTTTTCTTTTTTCAGAGTCAGGTGGGCCATCAGCAGTCATCTCCATCTCCTCCAGTTGGTTCTCTTCTTCCTCAAAAACGCAGCAACTGGTTTCTTTCAGCTGAAACCCTTGGATGAACAGCTGACATGCCTCCAAATCAGCTTCCCACACTCTTTGGAGCAGCTGGCTCCCACAGCTGAAATAAAAGCCAAAAGAAAATAAAACTGCAGTTCAGGGAAAATAGTTGCTATTTCAAGTAACATTTGGGCTAACTGCTTATTATTAGACAGAAAAATAAAAACAACGAAAAAGAAACCAATGGTGCCTCAAATACCCCCACAGGGATAACAAATGCTATATCAAACTGAAAAGCAGTAAAATTATTGCCTTATTACAAAGCCAATGACATAAAACTACCTTTGTGCTAAGATGTTGTTTCCAACTGTTACGTCTGACTTTCTCCTGTTCAGGACACAGGTCCAGGGGTCTCGGGATCATAACCTGAGTTTCCTTCATGCTACCAAATATACTTTTAATCCAGTATCATCTCTCAGACATGTCCGTGTACATTACAAATACTGCTCCTGAGATTTGTCCAAGAGTTATATTCACCTGAAGTAAATGGGAATTCTATGCATAGATAGTTTTTCAGAACAAGACAATGAATACTAACATCACACTGTTTCTAAGTGATGTGGTCACTTCTCCATTTAATACATATTGTCTCTAAGGAATCAAAAGATTAGGTTGCCTACTAAAACATAGCAGATCAGTGGCAGAGCCCAGGATGGGACTCAGAAGCAGTAATTCCCATGGCAATACGCACTGCCAGACAGATACAAATGCTAATATCTAATAACATTTCTATTAATATTTTTTCACCATTCTTTTTCAAATTATATAATTTACTATATATATATAATTGTGAGCAATTTTAAGTGACTAAAAGAAGAAAAATAACCATTTGATTTTAACTTTTCTGACTAAATTAAATACTGGCTTATCTTTTATCCAAAAGGAAGGATAAAGGAGCTGCACTGCTCACAATGAATTCAATAATCTAACAAAGGTACATTTTGAACTCCACAAATTTACACGATGCCAAGCTGTAAAAATCATACAGCAATATACAGATAATGAGAGCAAAATTAGGCTTCAGAAGCTGAGCTATTTGATCTGTGCTTAGAGTCAGCATATATGTTTATTGAAGGCATAATGCAGCATGGGGTCCACAAATAGTCTCCCCCAAGGAGCTCAGAATATCACTAATTAGAAAGGGAAAAATTCTTCACTGGATTACACGTCTGTGTTCCATCCAGGTAGCATTTCACTTAGCAGGACAGAAAAATAAAATAACTCCCACTGTTTCTCTTCTTGTCAGTCACATCATCATGGTTACACAATCAAAACATTTCCCTGCAGACATACATAAGCCCATTTACTTGCTTTTTGAAAATGTTTGCAGCTTTATATGGCTTATTATTAAAGGCTAAAAAAATACCCTAAGAGACCTAAATCACAATTTCCAATAGATAGCTTGTTTTGGCTATTTAATTTAATGAAAAGCACTATTGACAAAATTAGGCAGAGATGGTGATGTATGCCATATTCAGAGTGGAGAAGATGAACAGCATATGTAAAAGTACAGCATAATGGTGCCTAGGCTGCTATTATTCAGCCATGACTCAGCTCATCGGTCAACATGGTTTTGACTGTCTAAGTTTTTACACACATTTTAGTACTCAGGAATTACTGAACACAAGGCTAACAGATGGCTTTTATTTGAAGGCCTTCTTTGTTTTACCATGGTATCTGTAAAACTCCGATTTATCTTGAGCTAAGATGTTATGCTGAACTTTTCAATTAAAATCAGTAAATGCACATACACTCGGATACTCCGAACATATCTAAGCCCAACCTACCTAAGCTTTTAGTCTGTATTTTGGAATTCAGTGCCGTGAAGCATTTTTCAAACACACTTTTTGAATGAAAATTACTTAAAAGCTGCAAATAGCTGACACAGACACATACCAAATGATTATTAAAAATTATGCTGACCCCAGCATGAAAAAACTTTAGCTTTTACATCAGGTGTAAAACTAAACTATTGAATTCCAGAGTTTGGTTTATTCATGTTCAATCCACACTAAAAGTGCATTTGTAGTCTCCATGAAGCCTCCATTGCGGCTGTACTGAATATAGCGAGATTTTTCAGGTATGCAACTTTTCAAAATGATGGATCAAGTCTGGATCAGATTTCATATTATTCCTTTACTTACAAATACTTTATGATATATCAACCTCTAGGTTTTATACACCTGCTTCTTAAGACAACCCTTAAGTTTCAAACAAGCAACAACAGCTAGGATACAGACGAAGATGTTCAAAGGAACATAGTGAACATGGTATGTTATTTACAATACAACAGTTTAATTTGTTACACAAGTAACTGATTATTCTAATTGGTGTCAAGCACACTTAAGTATCACAGTGGTATTGCATTTTAAGGATTTGGAGGAGGCCAATGAAACATGTCATTAGATATACAAGATCTCCATCCCTCCATAAAGGACTCATGTAAGAAAGACAACAGATGCTAGTAGAAGAACACCATGGGAAAGTAATTGACACCAATGTTGTTTAACATCTGCAGATGAAAGTCAGTTTTTTGATACTAAAAAAAAAAAAAAAGACTGAGTAGGGGGTAAAAGATTGTGAGCAGCCCTGATATTGGAGGCTAGTAGTTAGACTCGATGGGACAGAACAGAGGGAGTCAATGGAGAAAAACAAAGTGAAATGAACAAAAGACAGTAGTGCTGACTTTGAATGAATGAGAGCAGAGCAAGGGGCAAGACTGCTTTTGTCAAGTCACGGCCAGGGAAATGGATGTCAAACTAAGTGAGATGCAAGACTCAACATGAGTAATTTTTTAGCTGTATGGATAGCTGTGACAGGTCTTATCTCAAGGATACTATGCAGAAAGAATCTACAAGAGGAGGTCTAAGCTGACTTGAAGAATGGCTGAGACATCCACAGCAACACAAAAGTACACAGCAGAAAGAATTCTGTATTAAGTCAAGTTGATGATGATGAAAGAGCTGTCAGAGAAACAGAGCTGTTTATGGACAAGAGGAAATGAATATGGAACAGAGAGATTTGTCCTTGAGTTCTCTTCATAAAGTGGCAATTGACATTGTAATTGCACATGCCTTTACCAAGTTCCAAGTAGTTTTCTAGGAAGAGCCATAAGAGATCAGAGGGTAAAAGGAAACTAGAGAATATCTTCAATCTACTTATGATGTTGGGTGAAATTCATGTCTAGAGACATATCCAGCAAGGATTCTCTCTCTCTTGAAGTCCAAAGAACATTACTCCTTTGTCTTTTCACAAGATTCTGGGAGATGTCAGTGGGGGCTCTCTCTACGGCTCTCAGCACAGCATTATTCTAAAGCTATTTATAGTGCTAATTGGAACTACAAGAACATGACTTTTCTATTGAGGGCTCTGCATATATACAAAAGGCACATTCAGTTCTTGAACATTATAGTCTAAATGAAAACATGCCCATGTAAAAATAGTCAAAAGATTTTATATCAAACCCTATTAAAAAAAAAAGGCCAAACCAAAACAAAAGAAATTCTCCCAAAACATCCTCAAAAGCAAATTGCAATTGACATAGGAAGATGTCACTACTCATAAATCAATCTCATCACCTACAGTTTTCAGGAATGTCCCTTAGTGAGTGAATTGTTCAAAGTGGTTTATAACACCCTGAGGTCAACACTGCGATGATAAGATGATGTTGCTTATTTTAAGAATGCACACATTGAAAGCCAAGAGAATGAAACTGAAGCTAAAATACATAGTAAGACATCTGTTTAGAAACTGCATAATCAAAAACTAACTTAAGAGGTGAGATTACCCACCACTAAGAAGAGATACCCTAGACAACCTCCTTCTAACAGGTGAGCCACAATAAGATGTGGATTCAGGAAACCATGTACTTACCTTTTCCCAGTACTTGGCACATATATTAACTCTACATTCACTGACCCTAAAGGCAGTTTTCTCTGACAAAAAAGAAGTAAACAAAATGCAACAAAAATAGTCCGGCAAAAGAACAGGGATTTTCATTATGGCAATTAAAATGACTGGAAAGTTTTGAGGCTTGGAGAAAATCACAATGTGAATCAAAAGACTTTGTTCTATATCCCCATTCTTTATTGAACTATTGTACATACTAGGGAAAGTTTCTCTATATTTTGGTCACTCGCTTCTGTTTATATTTTGCACCACAGGGAAGGAATGAGGTCTTCTTACTGAACATTTAGTTGTGTCTTTTTTGCCTTTCTTAAGGCAACAGCCATGCAGTGAATAAGGAAGGCAAGCAAAAGAAAGTATCCAGTAATAATATTTAGAGGAAAGAAGGCAACCATATTGCTTTACTGTTAGCAGAAACCTACCGTTTTATTTGGTTTATCATATTAATGCACAGTCATGTATTAATAACCCTTCTTACATTTAACAAGTATTTACTACTTCAGGAATATGCTTTGCTTCTCTCCTTCATTAAAAAAAAGAAAAAAAAGGTTTCCAGCCTGATCAGTTCTTGCCCCTTCACGTTGGCTGTTATATTTTAAGATGTCTACAGCCAATCTGTGGAACAAAACAAGGACTACAATGTGTGTATGTGTGATTCACAAGAGGCTCTAAGGGGAAGGAGGCACATAACCTGTTTTTCCCCACCTGACTGGTGTGCAATGGTGTGCACTGATAAGGGCAAAGGTACAGCTAGGGCCCACCAGATCACAGCTCTCAGCTGATAAACTTAAAAAAAGAGAAGAAAGAAGGTGTAGGAAAAAGGATAAAGAAAACCTGGACTCTGTCCAAACAGCAAAACACTTTTTTCCCTTGGCCTGCACACTAGAAAATCACCTTTCCTAAATATCTGAAATCAACCCTTTTTTTTTTCCTTCTTGCAAGTCTCCCTAATCCTATAAACACCTTCAATATAACCTCAATTTCACAATTCAATTCCTTGCATTGTGTCTTTCCTCTCCATTTTCCTCAGGAGCTGAAAATCTCATGAATTGATTACATATGGTTCCAATCATGTGACTGTCCCCCAGTGAGGGAGACATTCTTCCTACTCCCTTATTTCAAAGCTCACTGATAACTCTTGTTTGCTGCTTAGCA